TAGACGACTTACATTACACCTATCTGATCATAGCTCTATTAGAACCCATATAAACACACACACAAACTTACCAGACTTCACTCGAAACATTCTAGTAGAAAATACAAACATAATAACCTCATCCACATCTAAAAAAAAAAAGATTAAAAATAATGGAGGTCTTAATAATAAAAAAGAAAAAGCCAACACTTAATAATATTAACTACGAACACGGTCACAATGTGCTAAGTGTGTTCGGAAAATAAAACATCTCTATAACACTAAAAACATAACACACAACGCACACACCCAATTAAATTGAAAAAAAAAATCATCCTTGATAAGGCTAAAAGTATAGCCGAAAGCGGTCGGAATTATAGAACATTTGGATAATTTCTACACAATCTGTGTCCCAAAAAAGAAAACACTTGTTCGAAAACAATAAAAATTAAATAAAAAGCTTAATCGTAGTATCGTGTCTGTCGTTTTTGATGAAACATGCATATATATATATATATATATATATATATATATGCGAGGACTGTTTGAAAAGTAACAGGACGAGGTGTGCTGTGTGTGCTGTAGGCATTGGCCACAGACGATCAATTAGCGAGTTTACAAAGAGATCTGCGGCATTTGCTTCGGTCAGTGCGTGAGACTAAATGAAAGATGTGGCAGGATAAATTGTGACTGTTTCATCAGGACAATGCACCCGTTCACAACGCCCTGAGTATCCGGCAGTTTCTGGCTGAGAAGAACATCGCCGTAATAGAAAAACCTCCCTATTCACCTGATCTTGCTTCGTGTAACTTTTCCCCTTTCCCAAAGCTCAAGTAGCTTATCAAGGAGACCCGTTTTGAAGTCGTGGGAGCCATCAAGGTAGTCGTAACGACGGAGCTGAGAGGTATTCCAGAAGAATCCTTCCGGCTGCATAGAAACGTGGCAGAGAAGGATTGAAACGTGCATAAGACTCGAATGGGGATGAGTTTGAAGGAGAAAACCACGTAATTTGTTGTTTGGAATTGAAATAAATTATTTGGGACACCAGTCTCGTTACTTTTCACACACACACACACACACACACACACACAGACACACACACACACATACACACACACACACACATATATATATATATATATATATAATAGTAAAAAGAAAGAAAAGTAAGATATATAATCCGGTGTTCTTATTGATATTTTAATTTTTACAAAACAGTGCTCAATGTAAATTTACAAAGCATAAATATTATAAATTAACTGATTTAAAAATATATATATATATATATATATATAACACAAGCAAGGCAATGAAGCCACTATGGTGCAAGGGGTTACTGGCGGTGAAACAAAAAGTGAAGACAATAAAAGGAGATTCCAGAAGATAGAAGAGTATTAATGACATTGCATTTAACTTTTTGAAAATCGTATGCAGCATAAGGATCTATTCGAACAGAGAAGAAAACAAGATCCATTTGGAAAGGATGTAAGAATAATCTAGAACTTACGTCGGCATACAAAGGAATTGAGTAGCTACAAAACAATCTAAAGTAGCGTAAGACAAGAATGTGTCTTCTTCCCCAGATTCATTCCACCTCTACAGCCAGGCTATCCCAAGGGAACTGTAGGCCAGGATTTATTATTGGTGGGCGTAATATTAGCAATATTAACAAGATACGCAGATGACACTGTGTTGATGGCTGACACGGAAACAAAACTACAGGAATTCCTAGAGAGGGCAGTAAAAGAAAGTGAGAAAAAAGTACTAAGAACCAACTGTAAAAAGACAGAAAGAATGGTCATCATCAAGAGACAAATATCCCATCATGCAACACTAAGAACCAACAGTAAAAAGACAGAAAGAATGGTCATCATCAAGAGACAAATATCCCATCATGCAACACTAAGAACCAACAGTAAAAAGGCAGAAAGAATGGTCATCATCAAGAGACAAATATCCCATCATGCAACACTAAGAACCAACAGTAAAAAGACAGAAAGAATCGTCATCATCAAGAGACAAATATCCCATCATGCAACTTAAAATTGTAGATGTTAATATAAAGCAAATACAAATGTTTAAATATCTTGGAAGTGTTTTAACAGAGAATGGAATATGTGACGTCGAAATTTGAACGCGAGAAAACGGGAGGCAACAGAAATGTAGCTCTACGTGAGGATGCTGAGAATTCCACTAACGGAGCGAGTAAAGAACAAAGAAAATGGCAACAAAAAGCACACTCATACTCAGAATGGGGAAGAGGCAGCTGAAATTCCTACGTCACATCATGAGGAAATGCATATTGAGTGCAAGAAAGAGGAGGCAACCAGCCACCAATCTGAGGCGTTTTTATGAATGGGTCGCAAAACGGCGGGAAGGGTGGGTGGAAGCAAACGAACAAAATCTACTAAAGGGCAACAAAGGATAGAACATTTTGGAGCTTCATGATCGCACATGTCCTGAAGATACACTGCACATAGAACAAGATCAACCTGGCTCGAAAAATTAGCATTGGGAATATTGAGACATACCTGGGTTCGAACACCGACTACTGGTAGTACTAAGAATATACACAATTATCTAAACTATGAAACAGGTTCCTGATAACGTCAGTGGTGTAGTAGATAAACGTGTAGCTAAACGGTTATATCTTTATTTCGTTCTTTACGTCAAATCAAACCTTGCATTTTATCTTTCAGTGACAGAAGCATGAACTTCGTTCGGTCGATGTTAATCCAGTAAGATAAGTCTGAAATTGTCGCTTACCGCACAAACTGTTAAGTTGACACGTCTTTTGAAAATGGCAGTTGTTTTGTAATCGGATTGATTGTGGGATTTGCTTTGTCAAAAACTTTGAGATGAGGTTTGTGTCGTACGTCAGTTTCAAATGGAAGCCTCTCCAGAGTATGACTATAGACTACATCCGGCAGCAAGCGTGGAATCACCTATTATTTGCTGTTGCTTCCAGGTTCACCCTGGCCTGGGGTGGTAGCACCTGTTAGGGTCCTAAATAAAGAACTCATAAACTAAGATAAAAAAATACATTTTATACTAAAAATACATTTTATACTAAAAATACATTTTATACTAAAAATACAAGCAGTCCACTTTTATAAAAAAAATACCAACAGTATATTTTTATAGTGAAATCACCAGAAATATATTTTTATTAAAAAAGAAAATTACCAACAATACATTTTTATAGTAAAATTGAAAACTTGGTATGCATCGTAAAAAAAAAAAAAAAATTGCTACGATTATTTACATTATTTAAATTATTCGGACTTTTATTCTCGTCTTCATTGCCATATTCACAAAGTTTCAGCCGTTGTACGATCCGGCCTTCTTCAGGTGATTGGAATTTCGAATTGAACCCGTTATTCCGTCCACCACATGACCCAGTGGATAAAAACTTGGTTAGATCCAGTGACTAGACCCAAAGTGTTGCGAGTTCAATACCAGGCTACAGCAGTGGTGAACCAAAAACTTAGAGAGTTAAGTTAAAGGGAAATAACTGAGACATCCGGAAGAGGCATGGCCCGTGGAACTAGAAAAATCTACCTCGGTGGAGGAAATAAAGAGTTTGGTTCGAAATTCCAATCACCTGAAGAAGGTCGGAGCCTATAACGATATATATATATATATATATATATATATATATATATATATAGAGAGAGAGAGATACGCACAAGAATACAGTAGTTAAATTGTCGGCATTTTATATTTTTGGTTTAGCGCATGCGCGTTGTTTATTTTTATTTTCTTATCTGCACAGTATAGTACGGCTAGTTGGGCACCGTCTGTAAGAAAATGAGCTGCCTGGCACAATTCACTCCGGCAAAAATTTGGAACAGACATGTTGTACTGCTTGGCATTCGCGCTGGAAGATCCAATACGAACATTCCAGTGTTTGGGTGTCAATCTGAGGTCAGTGCAGAGGATTCGGAAAGAGTTGGATGAGTCTAATTGTGATTACGAAGGTGTTTGGAGTGATCACTAGTGATATCGAAGTTATGCCTCCTTACATCTTCCAACAGGGCCTCAGACTCAACACGGAGGTCTACATCAAATGCCTCGAGGAGGTAGTGCTGTCCTGGGTCAAGAGGGTGGCTACTGTAAGACCCTATGTCTTGCATGCCACATTAACGGGAGAACCCAGTCATGACTTTCAAACCATTTCTGCGACCACATCCTCCCTTAGAGATGTCCACCTAACTCGCCAGACTGCAATTCCCTTGATTATTATGTGTGGAGCGCAGTTGATCGAGGGACCAAAAAAACTCCTAGTAGCACCAAAATGAACTGAAGGCAAGGATTATGCCAACATTTACCAACTTAAACCAGGATATATAACAGGATTTGGAATTGGAATGAGTCCAAAATGACATCAAATGTAACAGTTTAACAGAAAATTATGTATCATATATTTGTACGCGTTGTTGTTTTTGTATGTATATTATATATACAGCCACGAATACGATAAAAAAAATCAGCATACTGTCAGGAAAACCTGCTCCGTATGCAATAAAAACATAGTTTTATTGTCAACATGCAATACAGCGCCATCTACCTTAAACTTTTTTTAAAACTTAATTACTCAAAAACGAACGATTTGCGGACATATGTTTATATGGACTTTTGTCCTTGTTTTGGTGTGAGGAACCCGCCTCCAAATTTTGTAAAAGTATTTTTTTACACCCTGTATATATGTGTGCACACACCCCTCTGTCTGTGTGTGTGTGTATGTGTGTGTGTGTGTGTGTGTGTGTGTGTGTGTGTGTGTGTGTGTGTGTGTGTGTGTAAAATAACTGAATACGTTGAGTGCTGAAAAATTCTCAGCCAAAGAAATCATTACAAAAATATCTCTTGTTAGATCATTTGTTTAGAGTTTGATAAACGAGGTAAGGCGAGTCGAGAATTTTTCAGGGCTTCTTCCTATGCCATATATTCACACGCACAGTCATGCTTGTTTGCTCGCCTTTGTTACTTTCTGTCTTTCCTATTCTTAATTTCTTAGTCTTATGTCTCGACTTTCTCTCCTTCTCTCTCTCTCTCTCTCACTCTCTGTATATATATATATATATATATATATATATTATAAAATGAATTATTATGAAAAGAAATGATCAAAGTATTTTTTGTATACTGAATTAAATTTTTTACTCCTTTTTAGTACGTACGAATTTTTTTTTTTTTTTTATTAAAAACTAGTTTTTTTTGCGTCAACGGTTGTAGTAACTTTTAGCATAGCAAATTTTAGCCTCTTTTTTTTTGCGGTGACAGACACAATAATTTGGATATTCTTGAAAAAGTCAAATAATTCTCGGATTTTAATGAAATTTTCAGGACTTATTCACAAATGAATCACCGATTTTTTTTTTTGATTTTTTTTTTATTTTGCAAAATCGGACTCCATCTTACCGATAATCTTTTCTAAATCATAAAATAAAAAACGCAATAAAACCAAGATATTATTTAATTAGAGAAGCTTTTAATTGCTTTTAGGAATAATATATATAAAAAACAATATAGTCTGAAGTAAAAATATACATGAAAAATTAATTTTACAATATTGGTTTTCATTTTTTACAATTTTAAATTGAATAATTTATAAAATTCTTAAATCTTTAAAATTCATTTTCAGTATAAGATTAAGTAAAATTCTATTTACTAATCATACATTCTAAAGCTTATTACAATCTGACGATTCCGAAAATTTTTAAAAGAATTTTGATTTGATTTGTATGTGTATATACGTGCAGAATTTCTGAAGTATGGATTTACAAACTGATTAATTTATCCTTAAAAGGTCACGTGTTTTAAGGGTTGTCCCTCCTTATAAACTTTATCGTCTGCTCCACCATACTTAAATATGAAGACGTTCAGTGTTTAATTGGCTGTCAATAAATCGATTAATACGTCAGAAAAACAAGTCCTAGATTAAAGAAATGCTTGTATACAACATTTTATGCTATAAGTAAGTAATATTTGCTTCAAATCATATTAATTTAACTTTGTTAAATTAATCTGATTTGTTAAGTTTGTTAATTTTTCTCAAATAACGTTTCAGAAATATATATTTTATTTTTGCCAGATTTTTAAAACCGATAATTAACTTTTGTCTAGAAATCTCTTAAAACGACCGATTTTATCAATTTTACTGAAAAAAAAATTGATTCTGATCAATATAATTTATGTTCGAAGTACATCACAGAGTATTTTACTGACTGGAAATTGTAAATTTTAAATCCTTTTGCTTTCAATTAAATCTAAAATGAAAGCTTTTTCATTTTTTAAAAATTATTTTAAACCTTACGTATACAAAATTAGTAGAGTTTTCTCTCTCTCTCTCTCTCTCTCTCTCTCTATATATATATATATATATATATATATATATATATATATTATTTGGGGCCAACCTTAATGATTATAAGTTTCATACATTCCTTGGTTTGATCAACTACTAAGCTAGGATGCTAAAACTATTTAACATATGAGTGCATGTAGGGCCGGTGCAAAGGCCTTAACCGCCCCCCCAACCACTATGTTACGTTTCAATTTTAATATACTATATTCCCTGACTTTACTAGATCTCATTTTTCATAAATTCATATTAATATAAAATACAAATTTTATTTAACCTAATTATGTACAATAATGGATCATATACAATATGGGGAAACAATGCAACTAGAAAAATTGAAAATAAATGCAATGTATTTAAATACAAATTAGAGACATGTCATAATAGATCCTTCCATCTTAAATAAATCCACAACGTTTTGCAGTAATTTTTAACATCAACTTGAGATTTTCTTGTAAAAAAGTTGAATAATTTTAATACATTCAACATAATAGATAACAAATAATGAATTTTATTGTGTTTTTTCGACACTTAGCATAAGCAAAACAAATTCCCAGATTTGGAAAAAAACAGAATGACGTCAAAATCCGCGAAAATTTTCCATTCTTTAATAGTTTTGTTTAGTTTAATTTGTAACGTACATAAATGTAGCAGATATTCATAAGATATCGCGAGTCACAAAACAATGCATGGGGCTCCCAATCAAGCTCTCCTCGGTCGGGAGTAGTATGCACCGGCCTTGAGTGCGTGGCCGTCAATTGATTTTTTTTTCTTTTTGAGTGGTTTACCAAAAATTGAAAATTTGCCAACTTCAAGATTACCAGCAAGGTAGGTTAGGCAAAACGAACTAAACTAATAAGGAAACTTTATGCAGTAATAGGTTAATTTCATTATTATTAATATTATTATTATTATTATTATTATTATTATTATTTGTGTATGTTATTTTCCTTTTTTTTTGTATCCTGTAGAGCCAGATTCAAACTATAGTCCTTAGGCACTATAGGAGAATTGCCATTTAATTGATAGCACTTTTCTTAGTATATGGGATGTTCTTACTATGGCGATCTTATGAGGGCAACTTCTGGAAAACTGTTGGTAAAACTGTCCATTCCTTTTCCTGTGAGGCCCAGAGATCCGATTACTATTGGTACAGTCTCGGTTTTCATTCCCCACATCCTGTTAGTCTCGATCTTCGCGTCTTTGTATTTGGATAATTTCCCGATAATTTTCATGGAGGTGTTTATCTCAGATGGTTTGCACTCAGATGGTTTGCACTCAGATGGTTTTCTATGTTAATAATTATACACTTCAGGAGTTTCTTGTCTTTTATGATAATATCAAGTTTGTTGGCTTTTATTTCCCTATCAGTTTGAATTTGCATGTCCCAGAGGATAGTTACATCGTTATTTTAGGTAACTGTGTTAGGTGCTCATACCATCTCTCAGTGATTTCGATTTTGTGCTTTTTGCATATCTTCCAGTGCACATATGTCGCTACTTCGTTACGTCTGTGGGCATATTATAGTTATAATTATAATTATTATTATTATTATTATTGAATATAGGATGAAATGCTTTAGGAAGAGAAAGTCCCTCTAACCAGAAATGAGCTAGTAAATTATTTTGAAAAAGGCACGTAACTTTCAATTTTCACATGATTTTTCAAAATTCACCTCATTATAACAAGAGCCCACATCATCAAATTTATATAGAAAAAATCGCATACACAAAAAATAAACATATACACACACAAACGTCACACTCTTTGCCTACATCACAGCACTTACTAGTTTTACTAAACTCACCATTTGTCCCTACTTACACTGATGATGAATTAAGAAAGTCGAAAATGTGGACCATATTTCTTGCATTTTGCTTTTGAAATGAACTTTGGACAATTTCTGACGGAATTTCCTCCTTGTTTGAGAAGGATTATTTCTAATTTGGAAAAGTCAACTATTAAATTTAATTGACACAAAATGTCACTTGTCTTTAATAATATTTGCCTTCAAGACAATTTGCTGCCTAAATACAAAAGACATATATGAAGAGAGTGTATCAAAAATACTTTTGTAAACTTTGGGGGAAAACCCTTCGTTTTTTTTTTAGTTTAAGATAGACGCTGTTAGATGTACAATCCTATATACAATCCAGAAGTACTTATTACCAGAGTTTGCAGTGTCAGTGTCTCAGTAATACAACCATAAACAGCAGCAAAGTTTGGATGACTCGGCTGCCCTCGGTCTGGAAACACAATTTGATATAGCCGTGCAGACTCGCGTCCATCACTATTCGCGCGGCAGTATTTAAAAATCACATTTACCTGCTAACGATATGAATATCCTATGATTATTAAATGGAACACTTCTCAGTTAACTCACTACTACACGCTTCAAATGCTGAAGACAGACGAGCCACAAATTTACACAAATGACAAATGTATTCTCGTCTAATCGTCTACATGCAATACAGCTATATTTAGCTGTCCCCCCCACGAGGGGTCGCATGTGGCACAAGGCCGAGTTTAACGTGGTCACCCGAGCCCGTAGGCCCGCCCCAAAATATAGCCTTCGACCCGCCTAGGCGGGTTCGAGAGCTGTCATAACCTCCCCGAACGAAACCTTGCCCTTCGGCAAGGTTTCGTCCGGGTTCCTCTCTGCTAATGCAGAGAATTTGACAGACGGCAGTTGCTGTAACTTTAATACAGCTATACAGTCTACATGCAATACAGCGCCATCTACCTTAAACTTTTTTTAAAACTTAATTACTCAAAAACGAACGATTTGCGGACATATGTTTATATGGACTTTTGTCCTTGTTTTGGTGTGAGGAACCAGCCTCCAAATTTTGTAAAAGTATTTTTTTACACCCTGTATATATGTGTGCACACATCTCTCTCTCTCTCTCTTTCTCTCTCTCTCTCTCTCTCTCTCTCTCTCTCTGTGTGTGTGTGTGTGTGTGTATAAAATAACTGAATACGTTGAGTGCTGAAAAATTCTCAGCCAAAGAAATCATTACAAAAATATCTCTTGTTAGATCATTTGTTTAGAGTTTGATAAGCGAGGTAAGGCGGGTCGAGAATTTTTCAGGGCTTCTTCCTGTGTCATATATTCACACGCACAGTCATGCTTGTTTGCTCGCCTTTGTTACTTTCTGTCTTTCCTATTCTTAATTTCTTCGTCTTATGTCTCGACTTTCTCTCCTTCTCTCCCTCTCTCTCTCTCTCTCTCTATATATATATATATATATATATATATATATATATATATATATATATATATATATATATATATATATATATTATACTACCTCTCCCATTCACTCTCAGAATTTTCCTGTCTCCTTATCTCTACCTGTGTCGCTATATTTGTCTTTGCTTTTTCTTTTTGTTTGCCTTTCTGTTTCAGCTTCTGACTCTTCTTTTCTTTCTTTCTTTCTTTCTTTCTTTCTTTCTTCATTTCCCTGTATCTGTCTATCTATCTATCTAGCTAGCTAAATCCTTTCATTATCTATCTATCTATCTATAGTCAAAGACGAAATTATTAGTTCATCCATTAATTTTGAATATTTTTATCCATTTCTCAGAATCTAATGCCCATATGATGCCAGGTTTTTATACGTTAATAAGCACAAAAAAAAGAATATAAAACTCAAT